AACAACAAATTGCAGGTAAAGGATAATATTCAGAGGTTGAAAATGGGAAATAGATTCACGGAAGATGAAAAGGAAATGTGTGAAACACTAAACGAAAAGTTCCAAAGTGTGTTTGTACAAAATGAAATCTTTAGGGAACCAGATACAATAAGAATTCCAGAGAACAACATAGAACACATAGAGGTGTCTAGAGACGAAGTGGAAAAAATGCTCAAGGAGCTCGGTAAGAACAAAGCAGCTGGCCCAGATGGCGTTTCACCATGGGTTCTGAGAGAATGTGCATCTGAGCTCAGCATTCCACTTCACCTGATCTTTCAGGCATCCCTGTGTACAGGAATCGTAGCAGACGGGTGGAAACAGGCTAACATAGTTCCAATCTACAAAAGTGGCAGCAGGGAAGACCCCCTCAATTATAGACCTGTATCATTGACAAGTGTAATAGTGAAAGTATTGGAAAAACTAATCAAAACTAAATGGGTAGAACACCTAGAGAGAAATGATATAATATCAGACAGACAGTATGGTTTTCGATCTGGAAGATCCTGTGTATCGAATTTACTCAGTTTCTATGATCGAGCCACAGAGATATTACAGGAAAGAGATGGTTGGGTTGACTGCATCTATCTGGACCTAAAAAAGGCTTTCGACAGAGTTCCACATAAGAGGTTGTTCTGGAAACTGGAAAATATTGGAGGGGTGACAGGTAAGCTTCTATCATGGATGAAAAATTTTCTGACTGATAGAAAAATGAGGGCAGTAATCAGAGGCAATGTATCAGAATGGAGAAATGTCACAAGTGGAGTACCACAGGGTTCAGTTCTTGCACCAGTGATGTTTATTGTGTACATAAATGATCTACCAGTTGGTATACAGAATTATATGAACATGTTTGCTGATGATGCTAAGATAATAGGAAGGATAAGAAATTTAGATGACTGTCATGCCCTTCAAGAAGACCTGGACAAAATAAGTATATGGAGCACCACTTGGCAAATGGAATTTAATGTTAATAAATGTCATGTTATGGAATGTGGAATAGGAGAACATAGACCCCACACAACCTATATATTATGTGAGAAATCTTTAAAGAATTCTGATAAAGAAAGAGATCTAGGAGTGGTTCTAGATAGAAAACTATCACCTGAGGACCACATAAAGAATATTGTGCAAGGAGCCTATGCTATGCTTTCTAACTTCAGAATTGCATTTAAATACATGGATGGCGATATACTAAAGAAATTGTTCATGACTTTTGTTAGGCCAAAGCTAGAATATGCAGCTGTTGTGTGGTGCCCATATCTTAAGAAGCACATCAACAAACTGGAAAAGGTGCAAAGACATGCTACTAAGTGGCTCCCAGAACTGAAGGGCAAGAGCTACGAGGAGAGGTTAGAAGCATTAAATATGCCAAAACTAGAAGACAGAAGAAAAAGAGGTGATATGATCACTACATACAAAATAGTTACAGGAATTGATAAAATCGACAGGGAAGACTTCCTGAGACCTGGAATTTCAAGAACAAGAGGTCATAGATTTAAACTAGCTAAACACAGATGCCGAAGAAATATAAGAAAATTCACCTTCGCAAATAGAGTGGTAGACGGTTGGAACAAGTTAAGTGAGAAGGTGGTGGAGGCCAAGACCGTCAGTAGTTTCAAAGCGTTATATGACAAAGAGTGCTGGGAAGACGGGACACCACGAGCGTAGCTCTCATCCTGTAACTACACTTAGGTAATTACACTTAGGTAATTACGAACGTGCCAGAGCCGCACATGCAGGAGAAAAGGAGGGTAGAGGCGAAGGAGGCGCCTCACACCCATAACACAGGAAAAACCCAAGCGTCCTCCCCATAGCTGCACTCCAGAACACCCCCAGTAGCTATGGGGCACGGACTGGAGAATGCAGAAGAGCGAGAGGCGAAGTACCCCGAGAGAAAAGGATGCAAAACACCAGCACTTGGGCATTCCACCCACACCAAAACAAACTCCCACAACGCTTGTGCAGAACACAAGGGCCGAACTGCATATCCCGCTCGGCGGGGAGGCGCCAACGAGGAATATGGAAAGAAAATGAACAGTGCCGAGACAGAGCAAGGAAAGAGTGTTACAAAAGAACGAGACAGGACTGAAAACTGATAAGAAGCACGGAAAAGTACCAACAAGCATGAGAAAGAACTGGAGGGAAGCCAGACCGGAAGACGACAGACGTTCCAATAATATGGGAAGAAGCAAAAACCTTCCCGAACCTTCGAGAACACAAAGAAGCAAGCACTAAGCACAAAGGCACAGAAAGCACAGTCGCACCTAAGACGAAAAGTCATGCAGAACCCCCAGAAGAGGGAAACATGACGGAAAAGTCCTGTCCTAAGGAAGAAGGGGGTGAAGAAACGGACAAGAGTACCCACCGCCAGGATGGAACGACGGACCCAAGGGACAAGGAACTGAACTGGGGAGGGGCCCGATGCCCAACAACTCGTACGGAGTGGAGGGGAAGAAAAACCCCACCTCTCGTAACCGCAAGCCCCGCCCAGAAGGTAGAAAACCCCAGCGGGGCCCAACGGGGCGCAAGACCCCCAAGTCAGCCCCTCTCTACCCCCGGGAACCCACACGGCAGGCCCCGGGGCCAAGCCGTCCCCCTCAAAGCCCCAGCCTCATAAGAAAAAGCCGGGGCAGCCGGAAAAGTACTAAGGAAGGGAGCCCACTGGCAGACTCATACAACATAGCTGGAGGAACAGGCTCGAATGCCTCCGTTGCTACCCCGGAAGGGGCAATCCCCAAGACTCAAGACCCTGCCCTGACTCCAAAACCCTCAGACGTTTCAGAGCCGGAAGCAGGGGGGGGGGGGACCATAACGAACTACAACAGGGAAAGGACGAGGGGGCATGGACTGAACCAAGGTCGAAGCGACCCTCACCCCCATGTCCGGGTCCTCGGGGCATCCGGGTGAGCAACCAACCTAGCGCGTTGCAACCTAAAGCTCACATGCAACCTGTACTCGTAGAATATCATCATGAGACTGGGTAAACTGAGTCACTAGCAAGCAACAGAACTCGCAGGACTCCAGGCCGAAAGTGTCACCGACCCAACAGGCAACAGCGTGACAGAGGCAAAAACCGTGAGGGTCACCTTGAGTCAAAGGGAATGAGCAACCCTCGAACTCGCACGAAGCGAGGAAGGACTCCAGGGACACATCCAACGGATCCACATGCCCCCTAGGGGTTTCCCAGGGTCCTGAGCATTTAACAGAACTCACACCCAGGTAATTCCAGGCAGGATACTGCTAACCGGTGCCCAAATCTACCAAACAACTTTCTAAAAACTGAACCCCCAGGATGTGTATACTTACAGGGACCTAGCAGGGGAACCATCGGAAGAAGGAAGGGTACTCAGTACACAGGGGGGCAAGAACCAAGGCAGACCCCCCCCCCCCCCACCAGGCAGACAAACAAAAAGAAAAAGAAAACCCCGCAAGAAGACAACGTACCCAGGTGGAACAGAGCCGGCCACTATGATTGGTGAAAACAAGCTGTACAGTACTCTGCGCCCCTACCAGTGCAAACTGCCCCATACCCCAAGGCGAACAAGGGAGACAGAACACCCTAGCACACAAAGGATGGCCGAAAACCAAGCAGTAAACGGCCTAGTATGGGCAGAACCCAAGGAACTTGTGGAAGTCGGCCCCAAGCCCCAAGGGCAGAACTTACAGGGCACCTAGGGCGCATGCAGCCCAAGTACTGGTGAATCACTCCCAGTTCATGCACCACCTAGAAGACAGTCACTACACACTAGGTACATTGCTGAAACAACCACCAAAGCCAGAGCACACGATCTCAGCCTCTAGCATCAGCCTGAAAACTGAAGGGTGGATAGCCGGCATGGGGGGTCTGGGGCTCCCCCCTTCCACCTCCCGGGAAGGGAGGAGCTGCGCAGACAGCGGCGTGGCGACGTGTGACGTCATGCTCGTTTGCTCGATTCTTTTAGGGGAGTTCTATCCACTTGTTCGGTTTGTGGTAGCAATAATTTCACCAGAATAGGGGTTTGTTTTGGGATGCTTACTTTTATGGGTACCTGACCTGGTCAATGGCAGACATAGAATACTTCCAACCATGCGGGGGTTTCTATAGGCCACTGCTCTCCTTACCTCTCTGAGGGGGGCCAGGTTCTGGCTCGTGGTCTCCGGTAGGCCCACAGAACTCCATACACATGACTGATGCCAAAGTCTGACATTAGCATATCAGCCTAGTAAGCTCTGGGGAGCCAAAGGGCCCCCCCCCCCCCCCCCGGGAAAAGGAACGAAAAACAAGCAAATAGCCCTTCACAGGGCAAAGTACAAAATATAGCTGGCATATAGTTGAGAAGCAGTGGGATGCACTGCAAAAGAGAATAACCCAAGAGCACATATTAGAATCACTCACATCGATGCCAGGACTGACCTTGGAGCCAGCTGTAGGCTGGGGCTCCAGGCTACCTGGTGACAGCCATCAGTGCCAACAGGTTTGAGCTAGTTTAAAGGGAACAATTGTTTGAAATAAGTTATTTGCAGAGTTGATGGTCATTTTGATGCTTCATTTGCTTTGAATCATGCACTTGTCTGTAGAGCTTTGCTGATGTTTCTGGATGTTTTCCCAGTTAGAGTGATGTTAATAATCCCCAACTCTCTGCACCTCTGTGAGGAGACCAGTTTCTGGCCCTGGTCCACAATAGGCCAAACAGGACTTTGCAACTGATATGGTCCAGTAATAGGCAGCCACTTCAGCAAGATAGCTTCAGGAAGTCCCCCAGGGGCATCTTCCAGAAAAGGTAAAAAACTTGAATGTGAATTCATCCACATTACTCGGAGATCTGGGTTACCAGAATTCAAATTACAGTACTGAACTCTTACAGTACTACAATTGCAAAGAAAAAATTATGATTTTTAATGCTGTATTTCTTGATGTAATATATATCTCCTGACTCTAAAATACTTCAGAAAAATTATATTTTACATAACATGTATTGTACCTCCTCAGCTTTTTGAAGATATTCTGGCAAAGGCATGCTCCAGTCATCTGGTGGAGAATTTCTCTTTTCCCAAACATTGTTGGCATAGTGACCACGTAGCCGCTCTTGACGACGCCCCTTCTCACTTTCAATCAATGAAGTCTGAGAGTAAAAGAAGAAAAAAAATTACTATATAGTTAATTAAATTAAAGAAACTAAAATACTTAAACAAATGACCACACCCAAGTTTCAATAATTTACTCAAAGTAGTAAAAAACCAGCATTGAATATAATGAAACGCCATTTTCTGGGCGAGTCCCAGAGGCTCCGTGGAGCTATCCAGGCTAAATGGTTATGTATATCTTTCTGGCATCAGTCAATGCATGGAGTTCTTGCTTACCTGGAACCACGAGCCAGAACCTGGCCCCCTCTAGAGAGGCACGAGGAGCAATGGCCTATAGGAACCCACTTGTGGTTGGGAACATTCTATGTCTGCCACTGGACACTGCCACTGTCTGATCGACTGGGACAGGCACCCAGAAAGGTAGGCACCCCAAAACAAATCCCTATTCTGGTAAAAGTATTGCGACTGAAAGCCAAACAGGTAGACAGAACTCCCAAAAAGAAAATTAGCAAACTAGCATGACGTCATCACATCGCCGCGCCGCTGTCTGTGCAACCCCCCCTCCCTGGGAGGGGGTAGGGGGAGCCCCAGACCCACCCGACGGCGACCCAACCTACAGTTCTTAGGTTGGATGTCCAAAAATGCGAAAAACATCGCTCTGTAAGGTACGAAGATTGAAAGCTTTGTACCCTAAAGTATCGCTAACAACACCCGCTCTTACTTTCTTATAAATAATGGAAGTGCAGGGATCTATATAGTAATAGTCACCAGTTCTAACTACATGGGACAAGAAATACACCTTGGAGTACAATTTTACAAAAAGGATTTTATTTAACAAATACCAGATTTCCTCACACTTCTTAGAACAGGGGGGGGGGTGTACTTGGATCCACCACAGGATTGATACAGACAAAAAGGGAGGGGGAGGTTCCTTCTCCCTCTACAACCTGGGACTTAAGGTCATTACTCTATTCCACTCCTCATAGGTCACTACAAAGGGCCTGGGTTTACAAATGGATATACAAAATAAATGTGGATAATCCCCCCATGTGACACACAGCTGAGCACATACACCTGAATTAACAACACACCACTCTCCCTACACACAGGGTTCCAAAAATCCTTATTTCCACAAATTCCTATCTCTAACTCATAAAGAAAAGGGGAAGCACCGCTATAAACATCTATAATACTGCACTTATCGTGTTTGTTGGAGACCATCCACAACACTGGTGTGGTTGTCACTGCCTCCCTCTCCCAAGTGACTGATAGGGGCTTGCACATGTCCCTGCCTGCCTGGTTCCAATAATGTCCCCTCCCTATACATGTCATACACATTTCCCAATACTTCATTTATATGTCTTATAATGTTCCAGGCTGTTTTTCTACATTTAACACTGTTGTTTCTCTATATTTTCTTGCATTGAATCTGCTTTTTCTTAACCATTTTATCCCTTTTGTTTACATTGGGTTTTCTTTTTAGGAGATTACATTTTCCTGTTGAGATGATGCTCTGTGCATCTGAAAGGGGTCAGAGTTCCAGACTGTTTTTCAACATTTAACACTGCTATTTCTCCCTACACAAGGGTCTCTCTCAATAGCACTGCTATTTCTCCCTACACAAGGGTCTCTCTCTCAATAGCACTGCTATTTCTCCCTACACAAGGGTCTCTCTCTTCTGCCCCGTCTCTAAACTGAGTAGCCTCTTAGAAATATGACCTCATTTAAAATATCGTCTTCAAGTTTTGTCTCCGGTGAGTGCAACAATGTCTGGTATCTGCAGCTGTATTACATCACTTAACTCCAGTATCTTTGATCTTACTCCATCTACGATGATGCATACAATTTTCAGGAACATGTTCTCCCTCTCCTTATTCTTCACTTCCTCTTTTGTCTAGTGAATTTGTTAGTTTGCCATTTTGTACCGTTTCACTGGCTTGTCTACCCCTATCACCTTATAGGAAAAAAGTTGATTTCTTCTTTATTCCTGTTCTTATTTAGACGTTTTGTCTCTGAGGTTCAGTTTCAGCTTCTGTCTTCTTTTGAAAGATCTCATCTTAATGACCATAATTTCCTTTCCTCATCAATTTTGTAATTTCCTAACAGTTCTTAGTACTTCTTCCATCTGTTTAGCACTGTTTAGGGTGATCCTCAAGATGTCGATCTTTCCATTTGTCGTACTTGCCAATTCTCCTGTAGTTGCAGACATTCTCTACGGTTGTAAGACCTTCCACTAGCCCCACAATTTTATCTACTACTTTCACTTCCTCTATGGCTCTTTCTGACCTAGATGTTATCTCCTTTTCTTTTGCATCCAAACATTATCAGGGACTTACGTTGATCAACTGTGTTTTGCACCAATTTTGGGTTTGATGCCAGTTCCTTTCTCACTTGCAGCCTAATGTTTGTTTTATCCTGGTTGCTGCAGTGTTTGGCTTATTTACTGCTTCTTCAATTTTTTCCTTCTCCTTGGCCACTTGTGCACAGGTGAGTTGCATATCTTTCTTGCACTGTTCTATTCCCTGTGTAACTTCCTCCATCTGTGCTGACAAAAGCTGTTATCCTATAGGATTTCCTTACCTGACATATTGTAGTCATTTATGTTTACATTTGTTTCAACTTCTTCAAAAGCTATTTTCAAGTCTGTATTTTCCTCTTCCATGGCTTTGCATTTAGCTTTCCACTGATTCTTGTCCTTGCATATTTCTTTTACTACCCCTTCAAGATTTAATACTTTACTACTCAAGTGGTCATTACTTTCTTTCAATTTACTGATTATTTCTACATGATGGTTATCTTGAGGTTATCTTGAGATGATTTCGGGGCTTTTTTAGTGTCCCCGCGGCCCGGTCCTCGACCAGGCCTCCACCCCCAGGAAGCAGCCCGTGACAGCTGACTAACACCCAGGTACCTATTTTACTGCTAGGTAACAGGGGCATAGGGTGAAAGAAACTCTGCCCATTGTTTCTCGCCGGCGCCTGGGATCGAACCCAGGACCACAGGATCACAAGTCCAGCGTGCTGTCCGCTCGGCCGACCGGCTCCCTGTAGTTCACAATATTCATGATAGTTCACAATAATATCTAAATTTGCCAACTTCTTGTATAAACTACTTATATCAATGCTTTTCTCATTGTAACTACCAAAATCTAGCTCTGGTTTGTTTTTTCTTGCCGGCAGCCATCTTGAATTTTGTCGTCTGCACTGTTTACACTACAGCAACTTTTTCTTGTCCAATTATTCCAGTTTCCACTTGCACATTCGTTTTAACGCATTTTAACACATTCCTATTTTTCAAATACGCTACACCTTTATGTTTCTTGGGACACCACTCACGGTCATCAACCTATTATACAATACTTAGGAATTTGAAATATCCTGGAGCTCCTCTGATACAGGTGTTGACTCAGGGGTGGCCAGGGAGGCCATGTGTCCAACAAAGGAGGGAAGAACAAAAAACCCCAAGCCAGCGTGACAATTGCTGGAGACCTAGCCCCAGCCGAGAGCCGAGGAGACTGGAAAGATGTTGAGCATGGGTGGCAAAGACACCAGAGGACCAAACCCCGAAAGCACGAAGAGGCCTGCAGGGGTGAGTGTGCCCTCCAGGAAGCCCAGGCACTGGGAATGCTACTCCAGTAACCCCTGAAACCGAACAGGCAGCCCTCGACATCCGAAGCCAACGGAAAAGTCAAGGGAGCAATAAGGGGGTTAACCTCACAAAACCTTAGGTTTTGTGAGGTTATAACCTAAGCTAACAACGTAAAAACAGAAAAGCCCCCAAGCAATAAGGGCAAAATGCATAAAATGAAAAAACAAAGAACCACCAGGACCAAACTGCGGAGAATGAGGAACCAGGGAGAATGGTAGCATCAACCAGGCTAGACCTGGAGGCCTACCATGATGTGCCAATTAGGTCTTACGAACCAATGCACCCCACCACCAAAAAACACCCCTAACCTGAGGAAAGACAGACAGTCCAAGACTACTGACTTACCTGAAGGGCGAAGGCAACGAAGCGAGGAGACCCCCCTATGGAAGCACTTCCCAAACACCCCAGGGGAAGACAACACTAGCCATGCAAGGACAGCACTTAAGGAGCACACAAGGAAGAAAACCCTTAGCACATGCAGCTCCAAGCACTTTATAACTCCTATCTCACGGTGCACAAACGTGTAAGAACAGCCTCAGAGGTAAAACACCTCTCGAAAAATGGGAGATTGGAGCCAGAGTGACACCAATGGGCGACCAGGCACACATCCTAATAAGAACTGGTGGTGAAGTGGCTGGCTGACCCGGCCTGCCTCCCTCATCCTCCTAAATGGGAAGGGGGGGGGGAGGAAGTAAGGCAAATTAGCTCACTAGGCTTCACAAAATTTTGGTCATTTGTTTCCATTGTTGGGGGAGTTCTTTTGGCAGTATTGAGGTTGAAGCCTTGTTCTAACCATGCAGTGGTCTGTTTTGGTCTCCCAACCAATCCTCATGAGTTCAAACATATGGTAGGTAGAGAGCTTCATCTATCACTCTCCTTAATAGTGCTGCATAGTGTATGCTCAGCTCTAAGTATCAATGTTACTTACTAATGACTCCAAATCTTTATGCTTCCTGTACTGTATGCACTGATTGTAGTCTGCTTTCCACTGTGAGCAATCCTGTGTTTCACCATGAATGAAATACTGATGAAATTTTGCCTTTATGCTTGTACAGTCATTATATTCTTCTTTATAATGCTCACAAGGGCGTACCTGCAAGGAGAGAGTTTTATTAAACAGCAGTCATCATAACCATTTCCACTTTCATGTTACATCCCCACTAACTCCACACACATTATTATTACTGATAAGACAATCAATTCCCTACTTTCCTTACAACAAACAAACCACAACTAGAAACTTTGAACTAGAAACCACAAACTCTGAAAGTTAACTCCAAACTGCATAATGAAAACTCAATAAGCAACTTCAAAGAAGCATTCAGAGACATAAATTGGGAATATGAACTCTCGTCATGTATTTGTTTTCATTTCACTGTCATGCACAGCCAAGTATTTGATATGCAAGGTTCTATATCAGACTGAGGACATAGTGCATGTCACACTCTCAGATGAAGCTATAACAGCCAACTTCACAACACAAGACATGCAAACGTAAGTAGCTGAGGTCATTCACTGTAGATATAGGTGGTGTGATACAATACTCAGGCCATCACAAGTCACCAATTTCATCAAGCAAATGTTAGAAGGATTGAGCACTGTAATAATTTATGAACTTTGCTGTGTTTCATAGACTTATCCATTTTCACATTTATTACAAAAAGACTAGATAAAGATTTGTTTTGCTTATGAATTGAATGTTTAAACATGAATGTCATAGGGGTTGGATTTACCCTCCAGCACTTTCCTGTGTTACATTAGCTTACTTTATTCACAACACTGATCAAACCACTAATAACATGGGCATAAACATATGACATTAGATATTACTCCCCTCAGTTCTTCTTGGTTAAAACCCTATATAATCGATTCTTCTCAATATAAATCCAACATACAGTATAGTTCTTAACCCTTAACCCCCTGAGGTTAAGGGTTAAAGGTTTTCTAGGTAAGTCCCGGAGACTCCCCGGAGCTTTAACAGGCTGATATGCTAATGTCAGACTTTGGCATCAGTCATGTGTATGGAGTTCTTAGGCCTACCTGGGACCACGGCCAGAACCGGGCCCCCTCAGAGAGGCAAGGGGAGCAATAGCCTATAGAAACCCCCGTGTGGTTGGAAGCATTCTATGCCTGCCATCGACCGGATCAGGCACCCAGAAAGGTAAGCGCCTCAAAACAAACTCCTATTCTGGTTAAAATTGCTACCAAAAGCCGAACTAGTGGATAGAACTCCCCAACATATAACAAGCAAACTAGTGTGACGTCACACATCGCCGCGCCGCTGTCTGCACAGCTTCCCCCTCCCCGGGAGGGGGAAGGGGGAGCTCCAGACTCTTCACGCCAGCTACCCACACCTCAGTTCTGAGGCTGGATGTCAAAAACACAAAAAAAAAAGCCAACCGGAGGGATGCCGGGGGAGCATCCGGGGACTCACCTAGAAAATGGCGTTTCATTACATTCAGCGCTGGTTTTCTGGGGGAAGCCCCATCAGCTCCCTGGAGCTAACTACCCACAGACAGAAAAAAAAGAGGGACTTACCCGGGAGGCAGTTGTCGCTCACTCCTCAACTCGAAGTTGAGACAACTGGCTGCAACCGCCGACCCATAGCAACACAGGCCAGACAGGGCCCCAAGGACATTCACGGGGTAACGAGCAGCCAGGACCCTGTTTGACCGCCAAAAACCCTGCGCCCGAATATCAGACCAAGACATATTTCCAAAGACGGCAGCAAGAGCCGCAAACTTACAGACGTCATGGGCACTGGGATAGACTGCAGGCTGGCTGGATTTGATAACCTTGCGGACAACCTGGGAGACCCGTACCCGCAAACAAAGAAGGGAAACCGGATCAACCCAAAGCGCGTCCCTGGACACAGAAGCCGTGGCGCGCAAATAACGGCGAAGCACCGCAACCGGACACAAAGCATGATGCACCCCCGGCCCTACCAACCAAGCATCAACCACCCACGGACGCCTCCGGAACGCAGCAGTCTCATTCTTCACCAGAAAAGAAGGAGACGGCTGCAAGTGAACAAAACAATCTCCACGACCAAAAGAGCAGAAACCCCTGCGCCGGAGGAGAGCATGAAGCTCCCCGACCTGACCCCCAGAGGCCAATGCCAACAAGAAAATTGCCTTGGAGAAACAATCCTGGACCGAAGGGGCCACAACGAAACGAGGAGACGTAAGGTAAGCGAGCACTCTGTCGGGAGGACCAGGACGGCTCAGGCGGCACATGAGCAGGCCGGAGGTGAAACAAAGCATGGGACAGCTTGCGAAATGGCACAGACATAACATCGATACCGAAGGCAAGCTGAAGCGGCTCTGCCGGCGCCGAACGATACGAGGCGACAGTGTTAGGCATAAGATGACGGTCCTGAAACAACCAAGAGAGAAAGGACAAGACCACCCTAACAGACAACTAACTAACATGACGACGACGTAAAAAGAAACAGAAGGACCGCCAGGAAACTTCATACTGCCGCCGAGAAGAAGCCCTCAGGTGGAACACCAACAAGGAGGCCACCTGATCACCAGAGCGATGATGATAGACTCGAGTCAAAAAACCCATACGCAAAGACTCGAGGAGAAGATCGAATCAGGCACGTGACGTACCAGCCCAATTTGCTGAAAGAGGCGGATCTGTGGGAAAACCCTCTGGTTCGGACACCACGTAAGCAGCACCTGAAACCAAGGCTGGGCCGGCCACCAAGGGGCGAGAAGGACAACTCTTCCCTAGTAAGTCTCCAAGCGAGTCAGGACCGGGAGCAACAGCAGAACCGGGGAAAAGAGGTACAGGAACCCCTACCTCGACCAGTCCAGCCGAAAGGCATCGACCCCGACTGCCTCGCGATCGGGGAAGGGCACCGCATACACGGGAAGGCGCCTCAACCACGCTGAAGCAAAGAGGTCCACCTCGGGGCGCCCGAACATCTGGCAAAGCCAATGGAAGGAAGCGTTGTCGACCATCCACTCGTGGAGAGGGGAACGAAGTGAGACAGGCCATCGGCCAAGACGTTAAGACACTCCCTGCACGTGAACCGCCAGGAGAGCCAAACCCGAGAACTCAGCAGACGAGTCACCCAAAGCGACCAACCCCAAAGAGACAAGGACCACATCGAACCCCCGCTGTTCAGGCAATGAACCATCGGAGAGCAGTCCGAATGGAGCCGAATCATCGATCCGCGGGCGACCCGAATCCTCCGAAGAGCAAACCACACCGCCGCGAACTCCTGCACCATGCTGTGAGCCCAACGAAAGGACGGACCCCAACGCCTTTGGCTGGCCTGGTGAGCACTGGTCACAAAGCCCCAGCCAAGAGATGACGTATCCGTTTACACATCGAGCGAGGGCTTGGGTAGGCGCCAAGGCACTGAACCCCGAAAAACTCAAAGAGGAAGCCGGCGACGCAGCAGCCGACGCAAGGCCCCCAGGGGTCGAACCCAGCGATTGTGAGAGAGGCGGAAGGGGCGACCCCGAAGGAACCAGAACAGCCGACGAAGCCAAACCCGACCCGGCGGGTAGACTACCATCGCCAAGTTCAGGCTCCCACAGCCCCTCAAGCCCACCTGAGGGCCCACCAGAAACAGACGAAGGCGTGACCACAGCCACAGGAGAGACTCCGGAGGGAGAGACAAGGAAGCGGTTTGAGAGTTTCAAACGAGACCCAGCCAAGTCCGAACCCGAGAGAGGACCAGATGGGACCTCATCCAGTTCACCAACAACCCGAACCCGGCGAGCAGGGAAAGAACCAAATCCCTGGCTAGCAAGCAAACCGACCGGCTGGGAGCCCAAACCAGCCAGTCGTCGAGGTAGGCCAACACCCGAACACCTAGGAGACGCAAACGGGCCACCACGACCCGCGTAAGGCGCATGAACACGCGAGGTGCCAGGTTCAACCCGAACAGGAAACAACAAAAGTGGTAACTTAGATGCCCCACAACAAAACCGAGCCAGTCCCGGAACCACGGATGAATCGGGACATGCCAATAAGCGTCCCAGAGGTCCAGGGACACCATCAAAGCGCTCGGCTCCAAGAGGAGCCGAACCTGAGACAGTGTAGTCATCCGAAAGGAGGGGCAATGAACCCAGGGATTCAGACGGGACAAGTCCAGAATAAACTGCAAGTCTGTGCAGTCCTGTTTCGGGACCGGAAACAGACGGGAAACCCATCTGAGGGACGACGTCGTTTTGACAACGCCCAAGCAAACACACTCCAAGATGACCTGACAGAGTGCAGGGGAAAAGACCTGCCCTGCCAGCCCCGACCCGCCACCCAACGCCACCGCAGGCCGACAGACACGACCTGAAACGCCCACGATTCGAGGGACCTGGCATCGGCAAACAGCACAAGCCTCCCCCCCCCCCCCATCGCCCTGTCAAGGGGGCAAACCGTGAAAGGGCCGGCGCCCCTCACGAGACCCAGAACACCGCACAGAGCGAACACCGTGCCGACCAGACGAGGGCGGGTCCGAAGCAGGAGACGAACCCGAACCTGACACCAGCGGTCTACCACGACGAGAGGAACCCCGAGCCCTGGCACGACCCTTCCGGGAAGACCGACCCTGGGACCCCTGAAAAACCAACAAGTTCGACATCGGACAACAAGCCGACGACACAGCCTGGATAAACTGCGCCACAGCCGACTCCTCAAACAGAAGAGGACAAAAAGGCAACGACAGCCTAAGAGCCAGAGCCCAAGCAGATTCCACGGAGGAACCCAGCACTGCCTGCCGACACAAGACGGGAAGCATAAAACAGGAAAACCACATCCCGCAAAATCAGCATGAAAAGCTTCAACAAGATAGCCGACGAGCGCGCTGCCGAGGACAAGGCGCCGGACCCCGGGATGGATCCAAGCGTCCTTACATCCTCCATAAGCCAATCCGAGGACAGCTCCAGGAGGGAAAAGAACCGCAAGGACGAAGCCAAAAAGCCTCGGGCGCGCAAGTCCTCCGCCACGAGCGCTGCCGAAAGAGTGGGAACCTACACATGGAACTGAACAATGCCCACATCGCGGGGAAGGGCAGGGGAAAACAAGTACTCGTTCAGGTATTCCAGATCGCCCCCCAGGAAAACCTGAATCACCGTGGAA